TTAAATAGTGATTCGTACACATTTAATAATTAACATCGAATATATTTTTAAAATCGAAGGCTTTTTTGGGGGTAGCGAAATGATACCCTTGCTACCACAAAAAAAATGTCTGGGGTAGCAAAAATATCCCTCGGTACCCCTTAGTGACGCCTATGCACAATGGCTTGGATTTTATATTATAAAATATATTTACAGGTTTACACGTACCTATCAATATAGGTAAGTGGGGTGTATTAAATAAACTATTTATTTTTTTAATTAAAAAATACTTRATTTTTGGATATCTATGTCTCATGATGATTACAAGTTACAACACTATATTTTAAATAAATGTCAGATTATTATTTTAATATTTTATGAGAAAACAAAATGACTTTTACCTATTCATTAATACTAACCCATTGTTTTCTTAATATTTTATGAGCAGCTACTTTAAATTAGTTATTAGTTAACTGTTTATATTTAATACTAACTCCAGCAGTTATAAATATAAAATATTGTATTATTTATTTTATATTTTATAGATTTTTAATCGAATAATATAATTTTTTTCCAAAAYGATAACTACTATACAATCTTYGCAGTTCTGCAGCAATACAGAAATTTATATAGAAAAAGTCCAATTTTACTGAATTACAGTATTACTTTCGTTGCCATGACAGGCTTCAAATGACTTTGAATGATTCAAATCTGATGTAAAAATGTTATATTATGTTGATATTATATTAAATTATTTTTGAGTAAGTAATTATTTTTTTTGTAACCATCAATTTACATACAAATTCCAAAAATCATTCATTTTGTTACGTAGGTATGTCTAATATCTCTCAGAGCTAGATAAAGAATATAGTAAATTTGTAATGCTCTTAAAATTATAAACATTTATGACGCGTACCTACAATATTTCAGACTTTCTTATTTTGTTGATTTTTAATTATCTGCAATCGAATAGTTTCAAAATCTAATGCACTCGTGGTAGACCCGTTATGAACACTMGGTGTGCATAATACAAATAATGAATCGTAATATAATCGTTTTGATTAAAAATAAATTAGTTTTCAATATCTAAAATCGAGCATGCTCAATATTAATATATTATAAAATAATATATAGAGAGAGGTAGATACTTAGAAAATCGGTGCTTATATAAGGRGCCTATATTTTTTTCGATTGTGTTTTTCCTGTTCGTTTTCCATACGACTATCAAACAGCCCGGAGGAGGAAGATTTCGTCATATTATCAACATATTATATAACACCCTTCGCTTTCCCATAATATTATACCCATCGAAGTTTCGACTGAGTGTTTTCGAGTAACAAACATCTTATAAAAAGTTTAATTTATGCGATCGTTATTATAATACGGAATCTTATTATTATTAAACGGTCTCCATTAGCATTGCGTACTTATTGTATATTATACTATTGCGAATTATTATTATTTTTTTTTTTCTTAATATCGTCATTATTGTATAATACGCCTGCCGCCATCATCGTCGTTCTCGTCTATTAGCATTTTATATGGTACGAATTACTGTACGCGCTCTACGAGCACACGGCTGACACTATATAATATTATACAATAACTAACCGATCCTGCACGGGGATTTGCATCGTTCCGATTACGATTATTGTTATAGGTGTATTTTTTCGGGGGGAGTAAAAGAAAAAATCCGTAAAATAAAAATTGCACGTTATCTTCCCGTTACAGACGCTTTTTAAAAAACTATTAGCCCAATCTGTGTATAAATATATATATATATATATATTTTTTTGTCGTCGTCATTAATGTAGTTCGGTTAAAACGCGAATTTAATAAAAACACACATATACATATTATACGTGAAATGCTTTTCGCGCATAACGAGATTTCCAAAACGACGCGCCGTGTTGTCGGCTTACAAATAGTCACATTCTTCAATTCTTGTGCACATTGATATCGATTATATTATATTATTATAAATTATAATAATATTAAACTWTCGATCATATTTACTAAAAACAGCTCGAGTCGTTCGAGTTTCACGTTAGATGACAACAATAATAGATGACTACAATAATTTATTGTAGTCTCATCCTTTTGAGTCTTATTACAAACCAGGAATTTCGATAGGAAATTGCATTCTGGCTCTGTATTATGCATTAGTCCGTTCGATTATTGAATACGGATCTGTTGTTTGGTCACCATATTAGGCCGTTGATATTGGTCGGATTGATAGTGTTCAAAATAGTTGTATGCGTTTCGCCGGTCATTGCCTCAATATCCCTCATCTACCACATGATTGTGGGCCAATAAGTCAAGCTTTGAGACTTGATTCCTTTTCAGTTAGGCGTGATAATTTTGATATCACTTTTATTAAAGGTCTGATCGAAGGTCGA